TTCTTTGACCAGTATACAGTGCTGCGAGCTATAATATTTCCTATTGTAAACTTTGTCGAACACAAATTTTCAAAATCATTTGTTGGTATATTTTACAGAATGTATCATATAGCAATTTAAAAGCAAGATTTGTTTGACATATTCAAAAGTAAATGCTTTTTCTACATAGCTTGTGGCTCTGTATTCAAATATGACAATTTCTGTAATTGTTTGTTAGTATATGTCCTAGTATTGAGTACTTTTTATTAATTTCAACAATATATGACTTCCATAAAAGAACTTCAGGATAACAAGCATTTTGTAATTAAGATATGCGTATTGTAAGAATAAATCGTATTTCTATAAGTTCTAAATCTGGTGTCCCCGATTACTCTGTGATCCATTTAAGAAACAGCAATTAAACACATGGCGTCGAATAATCGTTCTGAAATATGAAAATGATCTCTTTGGATTTGACCTAACAAAGAACCATTTATGCAAGATGTATACTGTTATTTAAACTTGTATCGATTAGATACATTTTATGGCACAGTGCAACATGAACAGATAGTAGATTTAATCAGTACTATATGCAATAAGTAAATTTTATTCAATGTGCATTATTAGATGTATTAGGTTTTTCCAAAATAATTTACATTTAGAATTCAATATGTATTTTAAGGTCAACTATATTTTCAATTATGTCTTCCGTTTCACATTTCATATTTGTATCAAATTGTAATATATACCATACGTTGTGTTGGATATAAGAAAGCTTTCATCAACGATAGGAAAATTGAACCGAGTATCAGTGTTCAAGAAAGTAGATGGAAAATCTGCGTTTGTATCAGTTCTCTCAACTTGAAGGCTGAATTTCTGAATACCCTGGAAAACATATAAATGTGTAACATATGATGAAGTGTGTCACATAACAGCACAAGTAATCGTTTCATGTATATACACATATACGTACATTCTTTTTTGTATTACAAATGTCATTTATATTTATGCAACTTTGAAAAAATACTTCTACAACTCCACGAACAAGAAAACATGTTTTGATTTTGGGAAGAAGCAAATTTTATTTGTTTTTGTAAAGAAGTTCTTCGTGTATTAATATTATATTAACTTATCCATATTTGGAAGTTTTTGTGACTTGAAAGCGTATTATTCCTTAATAGTTGTAAATAATAAGTTCTACAACATCGATAAATATTACAAAATTATAAGGAATAAAGGTATGCAACAGAGATTGTTAAAAATTAATGGAGTATTCAGTGTTAATGGTCACATATTAAGAAGTATTTTTGCATTGAAACTCGGTGTACGTAATGTATAAGAATATTCGAAGTTACCATTTTTAGGCTCATCTTTATCCAAGCGATGAAGAGCCGTACGATCAGAGAGACGAAAATTATACCAGTTCAGAAGAATGTGAGTCATATTATTGTGAATTATGTGACAGAGATTTTTCATCGGAAGACGATCTTGTTGAACATAAAAAACAACATAGAGTTTGTGGTATTGCTGGGTGTACCTTTTCTGCTCATCCATTGCTTGTTGAGAAACACATCACCATGCAGCACAATAGTGGTTTATATGATAGGATGAAAAATTTAACTAGTCCGGAAGATATTGATAAATGGATAACAGAAAGAAAAAAGTAAGTTGTATCACAAAGTGAAATTTTTGCAGATTTTAATAAATAGCATTACAGAAAGTATCCTACAAAAGCTAATATAGAACTGCGAAAAGCAGAAGAAATAGAGAAAGTACAAAGAGGAGAAATAATTAAACAGAAGGCAAATTTTACGCAACAAAAAAAGCAGAAATCATTACGGTTTCAAAACAGGAAACGAAAAATGCCAAGAACAACCACACAAATGTGGTGCGATAATGTGCAAGAGGAAAAATTATACAGAGGTTTAAAAGAATTTCCTGGGACATGTAAATATTTAATAATTGCATTTATCGTTTCTGTTTTTCATTCATATATATTTTTACGTATGTAAAAACGTTTCAGTAAGTTTACGAAAAACAGAGTTGCAAGAGGAAGATGAATTTGATCACAGAATTGTGGATGATGAATGTGACAAAAGTGTTAATTTTATTTCCGATGAAGAAGGAACACCAGTTCTCTTAATTGAGCCGGTTATTACTGCCTCTTCTCTATCTACTTTGGTAGCAGATTATGGGAGTGCTTCTGATGGTAGTGAGTATAAACATCAGTTAACAATTTTTAATAGATATTTGTCACTATACATTACAAATATTCTTAGGTGAGCCACCCGAAGAAGTACCAATTAAAAGAGCAAAAGTTGAAGATGATATTGAAAAGGATGAGGTACAAAATATAAGTGAAATTGTTAACAATGTAAAAGAAAATAAAGATGTAGAGCAATGTTCAAATATAACATCTCAAGAAAGTTCAAATACGAAGGACACCACAATTTCACAACATAAACATAAAGAAAGAAACAAATTAAATCAGTATTCAAAAGATACAGAACAGAGAAGAATTGTAGAGAAAAAACAACCATACACCTCGCAACTGTTAGAAAGATTGCTTTCGCGATCGATCCAACATGAAAGGAATTTAATCTGCCAATGTATAAAATATATAGTAGATAATAATTTTTTTGATTAATGGTAAATTAATATTTAATGAACACTGATCTACCTCGACTTTGTATTCTTTCTTAATTAAAAGGAAAATAAAAAGTTCAAGATATAATAATTTATATATTATTTATTTACATATATTAATATATATTATTTACAATAAAAGTAAAATACTTTACACCAGTCAAGTTTTAAACGAATGTCGTTTTCTTTTTTTAGACTGCTTCTTTTGGAGTTCTAAGACATTGTCATCTTCAGATATTTTTTTTTCACTACTTTTTATTGAAATGAGACTTTTGCTCTTTTTTCCAGAAAGAGCGTCTTTCCAATCAACTTCTGAACCTTTAATGGCATATTGATCTAAATTTTCCCTTTTCAATTTTTCCAATTCAGTTCTTTGTTTTGCTTTCAATTGCTGAAGGACGTAATAAGACATGTTATATAAGAAATAATTGTATAATAATTGGTAAAAAGATTACTATACCTTAGCCGCAGTTTCCAATTCATCGTGTAAGCTTTTCCCAATTACTGGATTAAGTTGTACATTCTCAGCATTAAGTTCCTTCCTCATCATAGTATTTTCAATATAGTTCTCGGATATACCATTTAAATACTGTATACATTTACGTATAATTCGATTGAACAGACCAAGCAATTGTGAAGCTGGTAAATTCAATTCTTCCGCCAATTTATCAACAGTTTTATGTTGTAAGCCCAATCCTAATAATATAGCCTGAAAATAAAGGTATTATTTTTATACTATAAGCAACATGAAATTTTAATTAAATATTACCGATTGTACTGTTGATAAATGAGTATCGCCCATCATATTTAAAAAGTATAAACGAGCTAGCGGTGGTAACAGATCCATTATCAAATGATAGTCTGCCATGTTATTACTATACATAGCTAAACGTTTTAAATCATATGAAGTAAAGTGTACATCCAATGCTTCTTTCTTCAAGGCTAAACAAATAATTAATTACATTTGAAAATAACAGTATAATCTGACGAAGTAAAAAATAATGTATTGTTAAAGGTAGACTAACTAGTGATGTCCGCAGAGAATGTTTTATTCATTAGTATGCTCAATGCCAATGAAGATTGGTATGAATTAAATGAGAAAGACAGTAGTGTAATAAATCGTCGTCGAAAATCGTTCCAATAATCTTGCAACCACCTAACATCCTCCTCCTGTTCGGAACTGAGTTTATACAACATTATGCAAGAATGCTCGCCTGTAATATCGTTCGCAGTTTGCCTAAAACGAAAGCGGGACACAAAATTACGCATCTATCTCTATTGCACATGTTTTAGAAGAAAATGTTATTGGTACAAATACGAACCTTAGGTAAACAGGCACGAAACTAGCCCGTTTCCAAAATTTCAACAACTGTTCAGTAACACCGAAAGACACACCTAAATAATCCAGACTTTCTGGAGGTCTTTCACTTAGCTTCAAAAGTAGAGGCGGCAAGGAGGCTCGAGGTTCTGAAATTGACAACTATGATAATGATAAATTCTCACAAAATTGTATTTTAAATATAATGGATATATTTACCAATTCTCTCGTCAAGTAAACTAACTTCTTCATCTTGTACTTTAGAGATTTCTATAGTTGGCGTTTTCGGAGATTTTTCATTGATATTAAGTATTTTCATTTCATAGTATTGCTTCAGTAATTCTAATGCACGACTGCCATATCCCATCTACAGCAATTATTAATTATAAATTAATTTGTCAGCATTTTACACAATTAAAGTACACAAATGACAAATTAATTTACCCCATGATAATCCGGATGTGTCGCGATGCGAACGATACGCGCACCCGCTAATGAAGGAAAATCTTGATCTTGATATTGTTGCGCTATAGTCCAAGGTATAAGATCACCGGCTGCCCTGTGCCCCCGCACGAGCCCATCGTTTATGGTGCTCTTACTCACTTCACCTTCTAAGCAAATCTATATATTACAGAAACATTGGAACTGCATTAAGTAATTGAGTTACTTAAATATATTCAACGAATCATAATTTATTACATTTCATACGCTTACTTGAATTACTACTAATATCTCTGGCAACATTTTCTTATTCGAGTCAACTGGACCCAGAAGACAAAACAGATGATGCGCTGGAGCATCAGACATCATTTGCAAGTCATTCGGACTATTCTAAAAAAATTTTCGTATTAAATATTTTTTGAATTTTATATATGAACAAAAGTGCGAATTCTATGTTGTTCAATTATATTCGGTAAGAATTGTTAGAGTGATATTTACTTTGTAATGAGAAGCGACGTAGAGGGCCACCAGTCTTTGTAAAAATAATTCGGATGCTTTGTGGTATGAAAATAGAGAATCTCTAGAAAAAAAACATAACATATTAAAACATTGAAAAAAAATATCTATTCCTATAAGTACCTATATAAATACCTGTTTATATAATATAACTGACACAAATCGGGAGGTGGACATCCAGATAATATTGGTGTATTTGTGTTAGCATTTAAGCATAATAAATCACATAGCCATTGCTCGACTGAGTCGCCTGGTTTGTAACGGATAGATTCTTCGAGTGTAAGTTCATGAAGTTGTCTACCAATGACGGTTTTTTCGTTCTGCTCCTTATCAAGTTTTTCATGCTTATTAGAACCAACCGTTTGGCTACGTAATTGATGCAATAATTTCAGTGACAACGATCTACCTGTGCCCTCGTATCTGTCCAGAGAAAATCGTGTATTAAATCGTGCAACGTGAATATAAACATAATAGTATATTCTATGACAATAATATAGAAATTAATTTATAAAGGAAATAATGTGTATACCCATTGATAGTTGACGCAAGAAATACTAAATAAGGACCAAGCATAGCTTTCACATAAGGGAGAGGTATTGCAGCAGCCTCATCAATTACAAGTAGTTCAGCTTGAGCTAATTTATGCGCATCAGTTGGATGAATGTACTGGAAAAAATTATATTCTTTTAATATCCTTTGTAAAATTATATCATCTAATCTATTATATTAATCTTCTATCTATACCAAAATGTAGTATACATGACGACTGTACCTGAACTGTTTGCCTGTGGTCCCGGAAAACATTTACACGGACAGTAGCTTTATTAAATTCAGGGTTTGTTGATTGTACTAGTCCATAATCAAGATGTTCTTGATATCCAAGTGCATCAAAGCCTAAAATTGATAGAAACATTTAATACACAGGTAAATCTGACACATTGCTCTAATTGTATAATAATTTACCTTTAAAAATGAACTGAAATAGGGTATTTAAATTCTCCGGACTTGGACTAGAAATATAAATGTTTGAATAACCAAATGTTATGGCACCAGCAATAGCTAAACCCAATGCTGCAGATTTTCCACGTCCTCTAGCAGCAGTTAAAGAAACAGTAGATCTTAATGTTTTCTCTGATATACATTCAATGAATTTAAGAAGTGCTTTAGCCTGAAAGATTTATTTCAACCATTTATTAAATATAAGCATTTAGTAGTTGCTTTTAATTTAATTTAACAAACCTGATCAATTGTTTTGCAACAATTAACAAGAGAAGAAATGGGTTGTGTGTCTTTTAAATTTTCTTTTAGTGCATCCAATTCTACATGTTCTCCAGAAGTAGTCAATTTTTGGACAGCTTCAATTTTCAAATTGTGCGATGATAAAGGTAATACATTTAATTGATCATCGACAACTAGGCATCTTTTACATGATGCTAAAGACAGGAGGAACCTTTCATTAAAGCGACCTACAATATCCTGCAATAGATTGAAATAATGAATTAATTACATAAAGTAACTTTTCACTTAATAAAATAAATGTATATAACATACTCGATGTGCTTCTGTGCGGAACCTTTGATGTACATCCATATTTATTGTGTACAGCTGCTTCAGTGAATTTACAGACTGTAGAAGGAATATGATAATACCTCCTCCTTCTACAGTTTCGATAGTACGTGCTAACAAATTTGGTGTAATTGCTTCAAAGTCCTAAACAATATCAATCAGATAATAAGTAAATAAGTAAATAAAATAAATATAAGGTACAGAAGAATATGAAACGCAGCCTTACTTGTAAAACACACATGCCATAAGTATTTCCTAATATCTTATGGGTTTCATTATAGTAGCAATAACGTATATTAGTGGATACAACGAATGATTCGAATGGATCATCCTCGTTAACATCCAACTTCCCAGATCTAACTTTTCTTTGTAAGGACTTCATTTTCTTCTTTCTGTGATTACTGAACCCCAATTCCTTTTTGTAACACCAAAGAACAGATGGTCTAGCTCTTATGATGCTTTTCGATAACATATGATGAAGTAAAACAACCTGTTTATAATACAATTTTTAGTTCTTTTATTGTTAATTATTATTATTCTTTTATCTTCATTTTTAATTCTACTTACAATGAATAAATGCTGCAAATGATACTATTATAGCCCATTGCAACTTAAATTCTAAATTGATAGTGAGATGAATGAAAATTTTACTTCAGAGACTTTTACTTACTTGGTCTCTTGCTTTTTCTCCAATAACGATAAACATCGTTCGGTGTCCAGTCGCAACACCATTTTCGAGTAAAACTCGAATACGATTATCCATCTTTTTAAGAACCATGTTTAAAATGAATTTTTCTATCTAACCTTAATAACACGCACGCCGCGTATACAAATGATGCTGGGCATCGCTAGGCAATATGTATATATACATACAGGAAGTTCCATACACATACGATCATTTTCATTTGTTCCGACAAATGTGTATGGAACTTCCTGTATGCATATATACATATTGCCTAGCAACACCTAGCATCATTCGTTTATAATACAATTTTTAGTTCTTTTATTATTATTATTATTCTTTTACTTTCATATTTTTAATTCTACTTACAATGAATAAATGCTGTAAATGATACTGTTATAGTCCATTGCAACTTAAATTCTAAATTGATAGTGAGATGAATGAAAATTTTACTTCAGAGACTTTTACTTACTTGGTCTCTTGCTTTTTCTCCAATAACGATAAACATCGTTCGGTGTCCAGTCGCAACACCATTTTCGAGTAAAACTCGAATACGATTATCCATCTTTTTAAGAACCATGTTTAAAATGAATTTTTCTATCTAACCTTAATAACACGCACGCCGCGTATACAAATGATGCTGGGCATCGCTAGGCAATATGTATATATACATACAGGAAGTTCCATACACATACGATCATTTTCATTTGTTCCGACAAATGTGTATGGAACTTCCTGTATGCATATATACATATTGCCTAGCAACACCTAGCATCATTCGTTTATAATACAATTTTTAGTTCTTTTATTATTATTATTATTCTTTTACTTTCATATTTTTAATTCTACTTACAATGAATAAATGCTGTAAATGATACTGTTATAGTCCATTGCAACTTAAATTCTAAATTGATAGTGAGATGAATGAAAATTTTACTTCAGAGACTTTTACTTACTTGGTCTCTTGCTTTTTCTCCAATAACGATAAACATCGTTCGGTGTCCAGTCGCAACACCATTTTCGAGTAAAACTCGAATACGATTATCCATCTTTTTAAGAACCATGTTTAAAATGAATTTTTCTATCTAACCTTAATAACACGCACGCCGCGTATACAAATGATGCTGGGCATCGCTAGGCAATATGTATATATACATACAGGAAGTTCCATACACATACGATCATTTTCATTTGTTCCGACAAATGTGTATGGAACTTCCTGTATGCATATATACATATTGCCTAGCAACACCTAGCATCATTCGTTTATAATACAATTTTTAGTTCTTTTATTATTATTATTATTCTTTTACTTTCATATTTTTAATTCTACTTACAATGAATAAATGCTGTAAATGATACTGTTATAGTCCATTGCAACTTAAATTCTAAATTGATAGTGAGATGAATGAAAATTTTACTTCAGAGACTTTTACTTACTTGGTCTCTTGCTTTTTCTCCAATAACGATAAACATCGTTCGGTGTCCAGTCGCAACACCATTTTCGAGTAAAACTCGAATACGATTATCCATCTTTTTAAGAACCATGTTTAAAATGAATTTTTCTATCTAACCTTAATAACACGCACGCCGCGTATACAAATGATGCTGGGCATCGCTAGGCAATATGTATATATACATACAGGAAGTTCCATACACATACGATCATTTTCATTTGTTCCGACAAATGTGTATGGAACTTCCTGTATGCATATATACATATTGCCTAGCAACACCTAGCATCATTCGTTTATAATACAATTTTTAGTTCTTTTATTATTATTATTATTCTTTTACTTTCATATTTTTAATTCTACTTACAATGAATAAATGCTGTAAATGATACTGTTATAGTCCATTGCAACTTAAATTCTAAATTGATAGTGAGATGAATGAAAATTTTACTTCAGAGACTTTTACTTACTTGGTCTCTTGCTTTTTCTCCAATAACGATAAACATCGTTCGGTGNATATGAAATATTAATTTTGCATAATATATAAAAATATTAATTACATTTTTAAAACATATCTATCTTCTTTGTCGTGTAATAAAATTCATTTCAATTTTGTAATACATACATATT